CCAAATGGAGGGAACACTTCAAAGAACTCCTAAACCACGAGATAATCATTGAGGAGAATAGTTTTGGAAAATCCCCCAACTCCCCAAAGACTATCCCGGATTCCCATCTAGGTTGGCAGAAGTTGAAGCTTCCATAGAGAATGGAAAAGGTGCAGGAGTAGATGGGATTCCAGCAGAGATGTTCAAACTTGTAGAAACAGTGCTTACACATCATCTCCATCAACTATCCTGGAAATGAGACAAAAGAAAAAAAAAAAAAAATCCCTGCTGATTTCAGGAATGCTGCCATCACCGTCTTCAAGAAAGGAAACAAAGTGGACTGTGGAAACTACCAAGGACTCTCCCTACTTTCCATTACAGATAGGACCATTGCCCAAATCCTCACTAGGCACCTTCTCCCAGTCTCTGAGAAAATCCTTCCTGAAAGCCACTGTGGCTTCTGCCCAAACTGTGGAACTTTGGACACAGAATCCCTACAGTGTGAAAGTAGGCCACTTGGCCCATTGAATCTATACCAAACCTGTGAAGAGCAACTCACCCCCTACCCTATCCCAGTAACGCTACATTTCCCATGGCTAATCTACCTAGCCTGCACATCCATGATCACTATGGGCAATTTAGCATGGCCAGTCCATCTAACATGCACATCTTTGGACTGCAGGAGGAAACCAGTGCACCCAGAGGAAACCCACGCTGCCAGCGGGAAAATGTGCAAACTCCATACAGACAGTTGCCCAAGGGTGGAATCCAACCCAGGTTCCTAGTACTGAGAGGCAACAGTGCTGACCACTAAATCACCGTGCCCCCAATGATTTTCATTACTCAGAAATGCCAGAAGCAACACTAGCCATTGGATAGCTTCCATCAACCTGAAGAAGGCTTTTGCCTCAGTCAGTCAATCAGGAAGTGCTATGGAAGATCCTGTCAAAGGCTGGCTGTCCAATGAAATTCATCAACATCCTCCATGACAAGGTGTTGGTGACAGTCCTCACCAATGGTAATATGACAGAATCCCTGGAGGACAAGGTAGGAGACAAATAGAGATGTGTCATCACCCCCACCCTTTTCTCCATCTTCAAATAAATACTGCTTCTCCCTACTCAGCGATGAGGTGGCTCCCAGTAACCCGGTGTGGTCGTCTTGTCCCAGCGTGGAGGTGTCACCCCCATGTGAAGGTTTCCATTGGGGTCAGCAGCAGGAGTGGCAGACTCAGCCTGGCATGCAGTCTTCTTTGGAGGTGGTTTCTGGGCCAGAATTCCAGCAGCTCAGCATTATGGTCTCGTCCCGAGTGCATCTTTCAGGTATTCCACCGTTTCTTAATTGGCTTTTCCCATGCCCAGGAGTTGTTAACTGAACTATGAACTTTGTCTTAATTTTATTTTATTGCATATGACTTCTGTCATAAATATATGTGCGTGGTAGGGTGACTTAGGAAACTTTTCACTGTGTTGTATATGTAAAAGTACACGTGACAATAATCTTCTGTTCTATCTTCATCGCCACTACTCTTCAACTCATCAAGAACGAGCCTTCCAGCAGTGCAGACATTTCTACAGGATAGACAGAAAACACTTCAACCTCAACCAGTAGAAGTCCAAGAAAAAAAGCAATACTGACCTCACTTGTGGAACTTCAGTATGCAGATGTCAATGTCAGCGCTGCTCTATCAGAAGAGAATCTTCAAGCATAACTAAATGCCTTCATGGAAGCAAACTGAAGAATCAGTTTCAACCTCAACCTCAAGAAGACTTGATTCCTTCAGCAAACCACCCCAAGTCAAGTTCTGAACCATCCCTCAATTAAGATCAACAGAGAAATCTTCCTAAATGTGGAACATTTCCTCTCTCAAAGGCTGACATCTATTCAAAGATTTAACATTGCATCCAATCTGCGAGCACTGCCTTCGGGTACCTAAGGACAAGACTCTGATGACTGAGATCCGTGCTGGTACTAAGATCCTTGTGTATAAGGCAGTCATCATTCTGACTCTTCCATACGGATCCAAAACTTGGACTATATACTGACACCACTTCAAGACCCTTGAAAAGAACCAATGTTGTTTGAGATGGATTCTCCATACTAGCTAGGAGGACAGGCATACCAAACATCAGCATGAGCCTAGATCATCCAAAACCAACTCCACTGAGCAGGCCATGTGCTTATGATGCCTAAATTCCAAGTACCAAAGCAAATCTTCTTCACCAAGTTTAAGGAAGTCACTCGAACAAGGAGGAGGACAAAGGAAGTGTTTCAAAGACAACCTGAAGGCTTCCCTCAAGAAATACAATTTGGATGTCAATGCATGGTGGGAGAACCTCATTCAGAAGAAACGGACTTGGAGGAAACTCCTGCATGAAGGGACCCAATTCTTTGAGAACACCCAGTAGTAAGAGGAAGTACAGAAAAGGAAAGTGAAAAAGGGATGCCAAGGACTTCAAGATCAATGATCAATACCACCTCTGAGAAACACCTGCTAAATTTGTGGTCAGTGATGCGGTTCTAGCATCAGCCATATAAGGACCCAAAGAATCCATGACCAGCACACAGAATTTCCTACGTGGACAATTGTGCTCATTAGTGAGTGATTGACAAGGACGATAATGTGGATTCCAGAACTGCACACAATACCCAAGCTGCGGCCTAATCAACGTTTTATACAATTCCAGCATCATCTTGCTATGCCTCAGTTAATAAAGGTAAGTATTCCAAATGCCTTCTTAAACACTTTACCTACCTTTCTAGAGACCAGTGGTGTGGAGGTGCCAGTGGTGTACCGGGCTGGACAAAGTCTGAAGTCACACAACACCAGGTTAATTTGAAACTAGGCAAAGTCTTCACCTGATGAAGGAGCATTGCTCCGAAAGCTTGTGATTTCAAATAAATCTGTTGGACCATAATCTAGTGTCGTGTGACTTCTGACTTTATGAACCAATGGACATGCACAGCAAGATTCTTCCAAACCTCAGTGTATCCCAGGGTCCTACTGTTGCCTTCTTTGTCTTGCCCACGTTCATCAATTCACACTTAACTGGATTGATTTCCATTTCACACTAATGAGCCTTTCTGACCAGCCCATCTATATCCTGCAATAATCTAAAGCTATCCTCTTCACTAGTTGCCACATCAACAATTTTCATATCATCCCTAAACTTACTGATCAACCTTCCAACATTCAAGTTAAAACAATTTATAGATATCACAAACAGCAAGGGCCCCAAAATCAATCCCTGTGGAAGCTCACTGGACAAAGACTTCCAGTCACAAAAACACCAATTATTTCTGAATCCAATTAGCGAAAATTTCCTTGAATACCATGGGCTCTTACCTTTGCTATTTGGTCTCCCACGTGGGAGATTATCAAAACCCTTTCTGAAGTCCACGTTGACTACATCAAATGCATTACCTACATCTATACATTTGGTCATCTCTTTGAAAAATTCAATCAAGTTGGTCAGACACAATTCCCCTTAACAAAACTATGCCGACTGTCCTCCAGTAACCCCTGCATCTCTGAAAGCAGATTAATTCTGTCCTTCAGAATTGCTTCCAATTGTTTCCCCAATGAGGCGAGACTGAGCAGCCTGCAGATTCCTGGTTTATCCCTTGCTCCCTTCAGTACAACACTGGCTCTCCTCCAGTCACCTGGTCCCTTTCCTGTGGCCAGAGAGGAATTGAAAATGACTGCCAGCGCCCGTGCTATTTTCTCCTTTGCCTCACTCAACAGCCTGGATTACATTTCATCCAGCCCTGGAGATATATCTATTTTTAAAACTGCCAGACCACTCAGAATCTCCTCTCTTTGAACCAAAGGGTGACACTGTGCAACAGACATTAGTGCTTAGGATGAACAATGCATTCCTTCTGGAATTGTAAAATCTTAAAAACCAACAAAAAAAAGAGAGCAAGAAAAGAGGAGAAAATAAACTTCAAAAGTAAATTTGCAGGTACTATGGATAGCAAGAGCTTCTTTAAATTCATAAAAAGAACAGAAAAGGCTAAGTGAACATTGGCCCCTTACAGAATTAGACTGGAGAAATAATATTTGGAAACGGCACAGCAATTAAACAAATTCTTTGCATTAGTCTTCTCAGTAGAAGACACTAATAGCTGACACTAATCCCAAAATTACTAAATAATCAAGTGACAATAGACTGTACCTTTTCAAACAAGGGGTCAGAGAGACAGCCAAATTTTGCTGAATTCCTTTGGTAACGCCCTGACCAATTAGAATTTATCTGCCTTGTCCAAAAATTAAAACCGACATAACTGTTCTTGTTGGATTTCCATGATTGTTATTGCCCAGCCACTCATCACCTTCTTCTCATTCTGTATAAAATGGTGTCTTTCCACCGCGTGCCTCCCCCCACGCCCCCACCTCAGATCTACTTAGGTGATGAAAAGAGATAGAGAGATAGAGAAAGGACTTCAAAAGATGATAAAAAGTTATGCATGGCTAAGTGACAAGACAATGTGGAGGTGCCAGTGTTGGACTGCAGTGGACGAAGTCACACAACACCAGGTCATAGTCCAACGGCGTTTATTTGAAATCAAGCTTTTGGAGCACAGCTCCTTCATCAAACCTGGTGTCATTTGACTTCTGACTAAGTAACAGGAAGCAAGTAGTGGTGAATGCTTCTTTTCAGATAAGAGGAAGGCTTCAACAGGAGTCAGTAGCACAACCACCACTTTTCCTTCAGCTATATTAATGGCCTATACTCGGAGATACAAGACAATTTCAAATTGACAGAGAAAGGTGGACAAACACAGGCTGGCAATATAGGTAGAAAAGTAACAGACAACATTTTATGCAAAATGTGGTGATAAATAATGGGGAAAGAGAATAAAGAAAACAAAGGCATGCAGGAACTCGAGGCAACCAGGGTTTTATGGACACCAAACACTGAAGTTGACAGGATAGGGGAACCACTACAAGTAACCGTTTGTCTCCAATTCCGGACACCAAACTTAGGAATATCTCGCTTCCCCCAACCTCCAGGTACCTGCAGCCGCTCCCCGATGTCGGGCTCGGCAGCGCCCCCAGGCCCAGGCTCCTGACTCAAGGGCAGATACTGATAACCGCCGCCGGGACTAGGGGACTCGGGGCCTCCACCGGATTCCTCTTCTTCTTCTTCGTCCTCCTCCTCGTCGTCATCCTCACTGCTCCAATGGGCCGGAACCGGGCCAGGACCAGGGCCAGCGCCCAATTCCTGCGGAGGCTGCTGCTGTTGCTCATCCTCGGGTTCAGGTAAGACTCGCTCCGGACTCATTCTCCAGGCCGCAATTTCCATCCACAGGTCACAAGCCTGAACCGCACCAATAACAGCAACTTCCGGCTCAACTCACCCATAAACATCCGGTCAACGAAGGCTCGGCAGAACAAGAGCGTCCGCAAGGTTGCTGACGCCTCCTGTCGGAGAAGGTGTGTCTGCTATAAGAGATAACAAGGTGTAGAGCTGGATGGACACAGCAGGCCAAGCAGCATCAGAGGAGCAGGAAAGCTGACGTTTTGGGCCTAGACCCTTCATCAGAAATGGGAGAGGGGAAGGGGGTTCTGAAATAAATAGGGACAGAGGGGGAGGCAGAAAGAAGATGGATAGAGGAGAAGATAGGTGGAGAGGAGACAGGTCAAAGAGGCGGGGATGGAGCCAGTAAAGGTGAGTGTAGGTGGGGAGTTAGGGAGGAGATAGGTCAGCCCAGGGAGGGCGAACAGGTCAAGGGGGCAGGATGAGGTTAGTAGGTAGGAGATGGGGGTGGGGCTTGAGGTGGGAGGAGGGGATAGATGGGAGGAAGAACAGGTTAGGGAGGCGGGGACGAGCTGGGCTGGTTTTGGGATGCGGTAGGGGGAGGGGAGATTTTGAAGCTTGTCAAGTCCACAGCCTCCCCGTCGTGGAGGAGGAGTGTTCACTGTTGCTGCTGTCCTCTGGTGAAGTGTCCGCTGCTGCTGCCTCCCCCGGTGGAGAAATGTCCACTACTGCCCCTTCCTCCTGGCGGAGTAGGAGTGTCTGCTGCTGCTGCCACTGCCCCCTGGCGGAGGAGGAACGTCTGCTACACGTGCTGGCCCCTAGAGCTTTGGGATCAACCCTGTTCTGATTACCTTTTCTGTTCTGTGTCAGGCGATCATTTTATTCTGGCGAATCTCCAATTTCAGGATGCAGTAGCCTGTTGTGGTTATCAACCAGGTCTTGGGGATCTGCCCTCATTATGTCAGGTCCAGTAGTTACCCTTTAGATCTCCTTTTCTGGGGATAGAATTTATTCCAGGTTCAGCCTGTTGTATAGAAACTGATGCTGTAGGGTATCTCCATGTTTAGGGAGAATTAACAATTTATGGAAAGTTTCCATTGGGTACCACCACAATGTAATTTGGTACAGAATTCCTGGATTTTGACCCAGTGATAACAAAGGACCAGCAAATGATGAGCAGCTTAGAGGGGACCATGCAGGTGGTGGTGTTCCCACATATTTGTGGTGATTGTCCTTCTGGATAGAAGTGGTCATGAAACTAGCACATGCTATCTAAGACAACAAGGTGTAGAGCTGGATGAACACAGCAGGCCAAGCAGCATCAGAAGATGCTATCTAAGGTGAATTTCTGCACTACATCTTGTTGATAGTGTACACTGCTGCTACTGAACGTCAGTGGTGGAGAGTAGATGCGTGTGGATGTGGTGCCAATCAAGTGGCTGCTTTGTCCTGCGTGTTGTGAAACTTCTTGAGTGTTGTTGGAGCTGCACTAATCAAGGCAAATGGGAAATAATCCATCACATTCCTGACTAGTGTCTTGTAGATGGTGGACAGGCTTTGAGGAGTCAGGTGGTGCAGGATTCTGAGCCACTGATCTGCTCTTGTATGCACTATATTTATAAGGCTAGTCCAATAGAGTTTCTGGTCAATTGTAAGTGGGGTATATCCCCCACTCTACCATTATCATCAAGTCAAGAGATCAACCCTGGTTTAATGAAGACTGAAGGTGAACCTGCCAGGAGCAACACCATACATACCTAAAAATGAGGTGTAAACCTTGTGAATCTACAAAACAGGACTTCTTGCATCCCAAACAGCAAGCAATAGACAGAACGAAGCAATTCCACAACCAACAGATCAAACCAAAGCTCTGCAGTACTGCCACATCCGGTTGTAAATGATGGTGGAAAATTAAATAATTTACTGGAGAAGGAGGTTCCACAAATATTCCCATCCACAATGATGGAGGGAGACCAGTGCATCAATGCAAAAGATAAGGCTGAAGCATTTGCTTCAGCAAGAAGTGCTGATTGGATGACGCATGTCGGCCTCCTCCGGTGATCCTCAGCACCACAAATGCCAGTCTTCGCCCAATTCAATACAGTCCACATGATATCACGAAACAGTTGGAGGCACTGGATACTGTAAAGGCAATGAGCCTTGAAGCATTCCAGCAATAAAGCTCCAGAACTTGCCACCCCTCAGTTCTGCAGGATTCTCTCCGTTCTGGGGGATTTTCACAGTTCTAGAAGATCCTGTCCATTCTGGAGGGCTCTTTCAGTTCTGGCAAATTCTCCTTGATCTGGAGGATTTTCTTTGAAGTGTATTATTCTCTTTTTTCTGGAAGGTTCACCTTTTTATGGAAGATTCTTCTTCTTCTGGAAGGTTCTGTCAGTCCTGCAGACTGGATGGCAGATTTCCTTCCCAAAAGGGCATTTTTGAACCAGATGGGTTTTTCCAACAATGGTTAAATTGGTTGTCATTAGACTTTTAATTCCAGATTCTTATTGAATTCATCTGCCATGGTGGAATTTGAACCCAGATCTCCACAATGTTTTGAAGAAGGGTCACTCCACATGAAATAGTAACTCTGATTTGTCTATGCAGATGCTGCCAGACCTGCTGAGGTTTTTTCCAGCAATTTCTATTTTTGTCACTGATTCACAGCATCTGCAGTTCTTTTGGAGATAGTGGGAACTGTCGATGCTGGAGAATCTGAGATAACAAGGTTTAGAGCTGGATGAACACAGCAGGCCAAGCAGCATCAGAGGAGCAGGAAAGCTGACATTTCGGGTCTAGACCCTTCTTCAGAAAACTGAGTTGTGAGGAAGGGTCACCGGACCCGAAACGTTAACTCTGTTTTCTCCTCCACAGATGCTGCCAGACCTGCTGAGCTTTTCCAGCAACTTTGTTTTTGTTCCTGATTTACAGTATCTGCAGTTCTTTAGTTTTTATCAATAACACCACTTGGCCGTCGCCTCCTCTTTCTGTGGTGAATTCTCCTTGTCCTAGAGGATTTTGATTGTTCTAGATGAATCTCCCTGTTCTGGAAGGTATCTGCCGTTCACCCATTGGTCAATTTTCCCGCCGACAATGTGCGCATGCGGATGTCCTTGTCCGTGCGGACGTGATAACGTCAGCGTGTGCGCGATCACGTCACGTCCGGTCTGTGAAGATGGCGGAGATGAGCGGAACAGCCGCTGGGTCCGAAACCGGGCCCGCTGGAGATTCTGGGCCCGAGCCCCTCACCGGCACAGAGTTCAACACAAATCCTGGGACAGAGCAACTGCATCAGAATAATCCCCTGCTCAACCTCCCGATCGTCGCCATTGACTCTATCCTCGGTTTAATGTCGTACGATGAGATCAGCGGCCTGAGAATGGTGAGCAAAGACATCGAGCAAAATAACATCAGGACAATAATATCGGTTATCCCATAGCAGGAAAATATCAGTCAACTCATACCAGTCAAACAGTATTAGGAAAATCATATCATTCAACTAACATCAGGCAAAAAAATACTCTGATTTCTGATAGTGCACTATCATTAGTCAACTAAAGTCAGTCACATAACTTCAACCAAATACCATAAGTCGACTATCGCAGTCAAATGCATAATATGATCAAGTATGGCTTTATGAGAGGGAAATTATGCCAGGCGAATTCTGCTGGAATCAACTGAAGAGGTAACAAGCAAGATAAACAAACAGGCAGGAGAGGATATAATAAAGTTTGGATTTTCAGATAGTATTTGATATGGTGGCATGTATTAGGCCACTTAATAAGATGAGTCCATTGTGTTGGATGTAGTTATTAGCATGGATAGAGGACTGGCTAACTAAAAGAAAATAGACAATAGTGATAAGGGGAACATGTTCAGGATGACAGCCTGTAACTAGTGGAGTGCTATAGGGATGAGTGCTGGGGCCACAACTGTTTACAACTTGGATGAGGATGAGCCACATTTGTAGATGACACAAATAGGTGGAAAGACGAGTGGTGAGAATGACACAAAGACTCCGCAGACAGATGTAGACAGGTTAAGCGAATGGGTAAAAATTTGGCAGATGGAATAGAATGTGGGTTATGTATTTGGCAGGTAGGATAAAGGAGCTGAATATTATTTAAATGAAGAAAGACTGCAGGAGACTACAGAACAGAGGGATTTGGGAGTAGATCATAGAATCCCTACAGTGTGGAAACAGACCCTTCAGCCCAACAAGTCCTCAAAGCATCACACCCAGACCCATCCCCCTATAACCCACCTAATCTAGGCATCCCTGAACACTTGGGGCAATTTAGCATAGCCAGTCCATCTACACATCTTTGGACTGTGGGAGGAAACCGACGCAGACATGGGGAGAACGTGCAAACTCTACACAGTCACCCGAGGATGGAATCGAACCTGGGTCCTTGGCGCTGTGAGGCAGCAGTGCTAGCCACTGTGCCACCCCTGATTTGGGACTTGTTGATAATTGTTGATTTGACTTGTTCATAAATCTCAAAATACTAGTTCAGCTAATACGGAAGGCAAATGGAATGTTGGCATTAATTTCAAAGGAAATCATGTAAAAAGGTAGGAAAGTTTTGCTAAAATTGTACAAGGCACTAGTCAGACCACAACTGGAATAGTGTAAGCAGTTTTGGGCCCCATATCTAAACAAAGAAAAGTTGGTATCGAAGGCCATCCAGAGAAAGTTCACAAAGCTGATCCTGGGAGGGACTTTCTTATCAGGAGAGGTTCAGTTGGTTAGGTCTATACTCATTGGAATTTAGAAGCCTGAGAGGTGACCTTTTTGAAACGCAGAAGATTCGTAGGGGAATTGACGGAGAAGTTATTTTACCTTGTAGGGGGAGTCAAGGACCAGAGAGTATAGTCTAAGATTAAGGGCTGCCCATTGAAGACACATGAGAAATTTCATCTTTTCAGTTGGTAGTGAATCTGTAGAATTATTGACCGCAGTAAGGGAATCCAAGATTATGGGGATAAGATAGAAAAGTGAAGTTGAGAACGATCAAATACGCTATGATCTCATGACTGGTGGAGGAAAATCGATGGCCTGAATGTTCTACTTCTGCCCTATACTTGTTGTCTTAAAGAGCATCAGTCAAACTGTCAGTCAAGTCATTGTCAAACATCAGTCACACAATGTGACTTAAACAACATAACTCAGATAACATCAATCAACTCATGTCAGTCATCTAACATTAGTTCACTAACCTCATTCAAATAACATCAATCAGATAATGTCAGTCAAATAACATCAGGCCTCCAGTGGCTGTCAAATAATATCAGTGGACTCAAAGTCATACAACAGAGAAGAGACCTTTTGGCCCTTAGAGTCTGCACCAACCTATCTGCACCAATCACATTTTCCAACACTTTGCCCACACCCTTGAATGTTGTTACACTTCAAGTGCTCGTCCAAGTACTTTTTAAAGGAGTGAGATTTCCAACCTCTACTACACTCTTAGGCAGTGCATTCTATATTCCCATCCAACTCTGGGTGAAAAGTGTTTTCTTCAAATCGGCTCTAAACATTCTGCCCCTTACCTTAAAATTGTGCCTCCTCATTATTGACTCTTCAATTAAGGGGAATAACTGCTTCGAATCCACCCTATGCCCATCAAAATCTCATACGCCTCAAATCCTCTCTTGGCCTTTTCTGTTCTGAAGAAAACAATCCAAGTCTATCCAGCGTCTCTTCAAAGCTGAAATGCTCCATCTCACGCAACATCTTGGTGAATCTTCTCTAGTGGAATCACGCCGTAACTATAGTGAGATGACCAGAAATGCATGCAGTACTCTGTCTGTGCCCTGACCAAATGTCCATACAGCTTCAACGTCACCTCCCTACTTTTACAGTCTGTGCCACAACTGATAAAGGCAGCTGTCTTAACCACCCTGTTAACCTGTCCTGCCAATCTATATCAGCCAAGTAAAAAATTAGGTGGGACAGCATGTGGTGCTGAGAACATAGGTTTCCAAGGGGATCTGGATATATTGAGTGGACATGTTTAATGTAGGAAAGTGCAATGTCATACTCTTTGGTAGGAAGAATCCAAAGACAGGCTACTTGGAGAGAGATTCCAAAAAAGTGCAGCACACAGATCTGGTTGTTCTTGTGCATGAAAATAGATTATAGAACAGTACAGCACAAGAATAGGCCCTTTGACGACCATGTCTCTGCAAACCATGATACCATCTAAGCTAATTCCATCTGCCTCTATATAGTCCATATCCCTCTACTCCCCGCCTGATCACGTTTGTCTAAATGTCTCTTAGAAACATAAAAAGTTAGCATGCAACAAATAATTAAGAAAGCAGATGGAATTTTGGCCTTCATCATTAGGAAGTGGAAGTTTAAAAATAGGGAAGCCTTGTTACAATTGTCCAGGCTGTTTGTGAAACTGCACCAGGAGTACTGTGTACAGCTTTGGTCCCCGTATTCAGAAGAATAAGGGGTGATCTTCATGAAATATTCTGAGGGGCTTGACAGGGTAGATGTTGAGAAGATGTTTCCACTAGTGGGGAAATCTTGAACTAGGGCCATGGTTACAGCATTCGAAAAAAGGGAACAAAGGCCAAATTTTCGTTCTCATTTGCCCTTTGTTGATGCAACTGCATGCTAAACTTTTGTGCTTATATCAGAAATAGGAACAGGAGTAGGCCATTCAGCCTCTCTTTCTTCTAAACTCCAGTGAGTAGAATCCCAACCTGTTTAGCTTTTGTTCATATGACAATCTCTCCATACCAGGGATCATCCTAGTAAACCTTCTCTGAACAGCCTCTGATGAAGTGAAATGATATCTTTGCATAACTAACGGGATCTAAACTGGTCACAGTGCTCCAGAAGTGGTCTCACCAGCACTTTATACAGTTGCAGTAAGACTTCCCTACTCTTATACTTCATCCTCCTTGAAATAAAGGTCAATCAATATCTCAGAGATAGTAGGAACTGCCAATGCTGGAGTCTGAGATAACATGGTGTAGAGCTGGATGAACATAGCAGGCCAGGCAGCATCAGAGGAGCAGGAAAGCTGACGTTTTGGGTCTGGACCCTTCTTCAGAAAATCAATATCTGTCTGTAATGTGTAATACAACTTGCCTTACCACTTTTTTTTTGATATCTGCAAATTTGGCTGCAGTACATTGGCTTCCTTCCTCCAGATCACTAACATACATTGTAAACACTTGCAGTCTTACACTGATGCTTGTGGAACTCTGCTGGTCACAGGTTGCCAACTTGAAAAGGAACCCCTTAACCCCACTCACTGTTTCCTGCTCATTAGCCAATTCTCTATCCATGCCAATATACTATCTCCAACACCATGGGTTCTTATCTTATGACTTAACCTTTTGTGAGATACCTTGTCGAATGCATTTTGGAAGTCCAATTGAACACATTCTACTTTTTCACCTCTTCACTCTGGTTGAGACTTCCTTGAAAATCTGTAATAAATTAGTCCGACACAATTTCACTTTCGTGAATAAAACCAAAAGAACTGCGGATGCTGTAAATCAGGAACAAAAACAAAGTTGCTGGAAAAGCTCAGCAGGTCTGACAGCATCTGTGGAGGAGAAAACAGAGTTAACGTTTCAGGTCTGGTGACCCTTCCTCTGA